TGTGCTTTTCCCGACACCACAGAGCCTGACAGTGGATTTGATGATCAAGGCAACTACTCCAAGAACCTCTGAAGATGCCAAAGGCAGCGCAGATTACTCTGCGATGCCCCCACCTACACCATTGTCCACCATACCCCCTACTCCCTCGGCAGGCAGTATGCCTCCTCCGGCCAAAAGGCAGAAGCGAGAGAAGATGGAGCTTAGTGGCAATGAAATTTACGTTGCTGAGTCACAGATCTTATTGGCTACTACCACTCCACTGAATCTCGAAGTCCCCAAGACCCAAGAGGACGCACGTGCTCTAATCGGCACCATAAGTGACTCTAAGCACTCCGATCCTCCCCCCAAGCCAAAGACAAGGAAGCGCACTGTCGCGGAGAGAGCTGCGGACAAGGCCTTAGCAGAAGAGCAAGAGAAATACATGCTCACATATGATGAACGACTCTCGTCCAATATCAACTCCGGCCAAAACAGTACGGACGGCGCTGATGGGCATGGCTCTGCAGGCACATCGTCCTTCGAACCTCGTTTTGAGAGATTCAATGTCATCGCAGTCATTAAAAAGGATCATGCCGAGAAGAAAGAGCAAGAGAGGGCACAGCAAGCTGAGAACGAGCGGAAGATGAACCTGCAAAAACAGCAGCAGCAACAGCAACAACAACAGCAACAACAACAGCAGCAGCAGCAGCAGCAGCAGCAGCAGCAGCAGCAGCAACAGGAGCAACAGGCTGCCCTTCAACGACAACAAGCAGCCGAGGAAGCCAAGCGTCGTGAAGAGGCCACCCGGAATGCAGCTGCTGTCCGACAGGCTCAAGAGCATCGTCGCATGGTTGCTCAGCAGAATGCTATGCAGGCACAAGCTCAAGCTCAGGCCCAGGCCCAGGCCCAGGCACAAGCTCAAGCCCAAGGAACAACTGCTCACTCGCCGGCAAATCCTCAAGTTAACACCATGTCTCAGCCAGCACATGGTCACCCCGTTCAGAACGGTGGTATACCAAACGCACTACCAAACGGTGGCATGTCCGCAGTTCAAGCTCATCGATTCAGTCAGGGTGTATCACAACCCGCTGTGTCTTCACCTATTGTGAGACAGAACACGCCGCAGAACATGTCAAGTCCCATGGTTGGAAATGTACCTATGTCGCAGACGAACTCTGGCATGGGAGCGAGCCCACCGAGGCCATCTTCTGTTGTCCAAACCCAGGCTCCGATGTCCGCGCCAATGGCAGTCAGCATGTCTGCCCGGGGCAGCCAACAAAGTCACACATCTGGAACTCCGCGCATGCCCAATGCCACTCCTCAAATGCCGCACGGAACTCCCATTAATAGGCCTATGGCTACGCCTCGCATGACTCAGGCCACTCCACCACCTGGTATGGTGACGACCAGCTCACCGATGGGTCAACCGATGATGGTTGGTCACCAGAACGGCATGGGGATGCAGATGAATAATCCGATGATGGCGGCACAAGCTGTAGCACAACAGCAACAGCAGCAGCAGCATCATCAACAACAAATGCAGCGAGTCATGTCACAACAGCAGCAGCTACAAGCCATGCAACAGATGAGGAATGGCCAAATGGGACACATGGGCCAAGTAGGGCCTCAGCAGCAGCAGCAATTGATTCAGCAGCAGATGATACGGCAACAGATGATGCAACAACAATATGCGAATATTCAGAATAATGGGATGATGAATCCGGCACAGCAACAACAGCGGTTCAATGCGTTACAGCAACAGCAGGCGGCGATCATGCAAGGGCAGCTGCAACAGCAGATACACGGGCAACATGCGGGCAATCCCAACCATGGCAACATGAACGGGCTGCCCCCGAACCAGGCAGCTATGCAACATATGCAGCAAGTGCAAATGCAGCAGCAGCAGCAGCGGGGGCGGCAGGCTCAGATGGGGTCGGCACAGGCTCAGTTCCAGATGCAGGTACGGAATAGGCAACAACACTATATTGCCAACAATATGCATCATCTGATAGAGCAGTTTGGAGCGGAGAGTGCCATTCCTCAGGAGGCAATGGAGCGATTCAAGACGCAATGTCTGAAGAAGGCGCATGCGGAGGTGATGCAGTTCCGGCAAATGCAGCAACAGCAGATGCATGTTCAGCAGCAACACATGGCAGCGCAACAGGGCGGGATGATGCAACCGGGAATGCAACCAGGCATGTAGACCGATGGATGACGCAACCGAGGACATAACCAGCGATAAAGAGGGTAATGATGTACGACTTGTCAACTAGCGGATAACGGGATTGAAGTGGCATTTGCGAACCTGGCGTATGATAAAAGGGCTAATCACATAAGGACAGGCGTTGGATGGTATACTCCCGGAGGTGGTGATCATTATACCCATTTCCCTTTCCTTTCTCATTGCAGGCCGGGGGGTAGGGACCTTGCCCTTGCTGCCCTCTGCCATTTACGAGTGCTGGGGAATCAATAGGGGCTGTTCTATTTGTATGATCGCTTGGTTGATATAAATACTTAAAGTAGTCGGTATGGCTAGGAAATACACGGATTACAGCAATTCTCAACCCACATAAGCTAATGCTCCGAGCTCAGAGTGATCCGTGCTCTCCAGTTTATTTAATTGAGAGGCTAACCTAGAGTTTTACATTCCTGCACATACTGTCAAACTTCTTGTCAAGAGAGATACAAAGAGGCAGGAGTGGGAGAAAGACAATCACGTGGGCTCTCTGGCAGTCAACATGTCGGGATTACTCGGAGGTAACACTGCAATGGGGATGAGGCTTGGGTTACATAAGCATAGCTTCTTTTTTAATAGCAACCCCTGCGCATGATGACGATGGCCGTCTGCTGAGACTCCCAACTGACCCAGCATTGAGCTCTCTGTGTGCGCACACGCATCATCAATCATCAGGCATCTATCTATCTCTCTCAACAGGACTATCGCATTTGTCCGGGCCTTTCCCATTCTGCTGTACTGACGCATATTGAGATGCTGTCTTTTCTTCCAACACTGTCTTTTTCATATCGGTTCATTTGATCAGCACCCCTTTTCCCTCATTCTCTCAATTTTAATCATTCCCGCTTTTCCATCCATCCGGCACCTGTTACGATCGAGGCATCCAATATTTGTATTTCCTATCCCCTGACCGACCGCACCTCCAACTCGAGCCACCTCGCCCCGACCATGAAGTTCGCGACGATACCCAGCGCGGACGCCGCATTATCGCTTTTCCTCCTGTTGGCGCCTCTTCCCGCGAATGCCATGCTGAGGTGTAACCACATCGTGTCCGGCGACCAGCGATACGACCTGGAGAAGTTGGGAGGGCCGCATTCGGTTGTCATGAGCCACGCTATTGACAATGAGACTTGGAACACCACATACACCGTCGACATCTGCCGGCCGTTGAAGAAGAAAGGCAACGTCAAGAAACAAGAGCAGTGTCCCAACGGATCTCGCGGTATGCATATCCACAGCTACTCTCCTCCATTACCCATTTTTCTCTTCAGCGGCGTCCGTCTTGTCCTAAACCGAACTAATCCGTTGCTACTCGGACAGTGTGTGCCATTCAACGCCATCTTGTCACCGGTGGCGATAAAGACATGGACGACCTCGTCAAAGCCATACCGCTCGCCGGCGAGCTCGACATGGTCGGCGGCAATCCCCTCGACCCCGAAGTGAAGCAACTCAGCGAGATCGACCCCAGCTCCGGCAACGAGGGCCTGCGTATAATCATGAAGGGCGGGTTCGACCGTACTACCAGCGGCGTCAAGCGGAAGCAACAGGTCCTCCTCGACTTCGTCTGCGACAAGGACCGCGATGGAACCGAGGGCGAGTGGACTCCCGAGGATCAGTACGAACCTAGCACTGGCCCTATCGAACGCCGCGAGGACGGCGAGGACGGAGATGGCGATGGAGAAGATGGAGATGGGGATGAGGATGATACAGCTCCTCCTAAGGACGTCCAGCTTGGCATCGCGAATGATCCGAGCTTAGTCTTCCAGCGCTACGGACCGAGCGATAGCAACAATGACGTGGATGTCTTGCACATGGTTTGGCGCTCGAAATATGTCTGCACTAGCAAGGCAGATGATGGAACGGACGAAGGCCACGATGACAACGGTGATGGTGGTGAGAAGAAGCCCAAATCATCGGGATGGGGCTTCTTCACGTGGCTTGTCATTCTGTAAGTTGCCTACTCGCCACGATTATCCTTCTACCGTTACTAATCAAGCTATCCATATAGTGTTTTCCTCGGCACGGCCGCCTACTTGATCTTTGGCTCATGGCTCAACTACAACAGGTACGGAGCCCGAGGCTGGGATCTTCTGCCACACGGCGACACCATCCGCGATGTCCCCTACCTTCTCAAGGACTGGGTGAGACGGGTCTTGAACACTGTACAAGGCAGCGGGAGTCGAGGGGGTTACAGTGCTGTTTGATGAATGGGCATCGAGGCGAGAATGAACGGCAAGGTTTTTTCTTGTGAGGAGACACACTGGTAATATTGAGCCTTAGGCTATTGAGGTTTGATCGATCAATCAATCGGGATGGCGTCCGTTGCATTCACTTTTCATATTCTTGGGATTCACTGGGGGGCAAGTCGGCTTTCGCGACTGGGTCACAACATAGACAACGGGAGAAAGCCGAAGGGCATGTAGGCTTTGTTCGATTTATGTAAAAATACATACTGTATGGTTTGATCTTCACTGGCTTGCTTGATCGTTAATCATGAGAGGTGAGGCTGCTTGATTTTCTGTGTTGTGTGGTGCTTCTGATAACTCTATGAGGGTGTGTTCCAGCCATAGAGGTGTGTGACTCTTGTCAAGCATTGATCTCGTCGGATACCTCACAACAGAAGAACTGGCTTTACGAGCGTGATGAACTCTAGGTAATGTTCGAGTAATGTACGGTTACGGGTAGGTAAAAGCTCGGTGCGGGTGGTGCGATATTAGTGGGGAGGTAGGCGGTGTCCGCTGAGGGGTCATAAGTTAAGATAAGATGCCAAAACTTCAACAAATAAGGTCGCGTGGCCCAATGGGTATGTTCAAATCCAAATCAAAGTATCTCCACAATCTTGCAATACTAACACAGTATACAGCAAGGCGTCTGACTACGAATCAGGAGATTCTGGGTTCGATCCCCAGCGTGATCATCTTTTTGTTTTTTTTCTTCTTATCATTGGTAATCTCTGTTCTCAATCACGTCTGTTCTCTCTGCATTAGGGGGCGGTCCTCCATGTCGGATGCTGGCATAGGGAGTAAGGGTCCGTGATGTGGGAACTGCTCCTTCCCATCTTTCGTTTCCTTTTGCTCCATATGCATCCAAGCACAAGATCCAGTTTCCTTCTGAAATGCAGCTCGTTAAAGAAATAGGCAAGAATGATATCCATCCGCTTTGGCAACGATCGAACTTCTCTAACGCATAGTCGGCACGCTGGTATTGTGGCAGTGCTTGTTACTCATATGACATCAGCGTCCCCCATCTTATCTATATCTCAATGTCCGCATCCTTTGGACAGAGGGTTGATCAGCGTTGTTGAACTTAATTTCTCCTGCTCTATCGAACCAGACCTGCAGCTAAAGACTGAGATAATGTGGCTGATTGTTTGCTAATATGGATGTCCTCCCCTCCTATAGCGAGGCCACCACTGGCCCAGATTGGCTGGCCCTGGTGAGGTCGTATGTCCCCGCATCCCACTGGGCAAGATGCTGCCTGGTGAGTCGCCGATTTTATGATCACTTCGCTTCTTTCTTATGGCAAGATCCTCTCGTCATAATTAGATTGTTAGGCTTGCATCCAAATGACGGTTGGTCTTCCCACTTTGACCCTCTTCCAACTATATTTGCCACTCGAACTGACAGCGCCAAGATCTTGCATGGTATCGACGATTTATACAAAAGTATGTCAACTCATCGAGGGTCAAGACTCGCTGCATGGTGCAATGCCTGGATTTTCGGAAATTTGCTTTGAGCGCATCAGGACTCTATTCGACCGAAGCTAGTGAACGCGCCATCTCTGAGAGCTTCAAAAATCTACCTCAGCTTTTCCCCAGATTGAAATGTCTATTGTTGAATAGACATCCGCAACTTGATCCCAGCTCTCTTTCGGCAGCTACCCTGGGCAACTCTGAACCTCTTAAGCTTCTGGATCTCGGGCATTGTTGCCAGGAACTCTCTCCTACGTTTTTCACGTCTCCTCTATTCCGCAGTCTTGTCTATTTGGACGTATCATACATTCCGGGATCTTTGAGAACGGCCATGCAGTCCTCTCTAAATCCTGAATATCTACCCGAGCTTCGAATCTTAAAAGCTAAAGGCCGCGAGGTGGACGATGGCACGGCCCAGCTGTTGGGTCAAATGTTTCGATTCCAATTCTGGAGCCTCGATCTCAGCGATAATAATCTCACCGACGAAGGCATTGAGAGGCTACGAGTATACTGTTTCTTCACCATCTCTTTCAACCACCCTCGCCATTTTGAGGTGGAAGGGAAGTTGAGCCTGCCAAGAGCCGTGGGTACTCACAGATACGGTCTTTTCTATTTCATCGAAGAGTCACGACACAGCGCTACTTTCACCCACCCTGAGCGATGCCTTGCTGATGCTCCCTCGTATTTCCAAAGAGTCGATCACACGGATACCCAAGATTGGCACACCACCCGCTGGGACGGAACCCGCCTATTAAAGCCCGACAACGCAAGTGCCATCAAGGCGACACTGTTGGAGGCCCCGATTTTTACCAACAGCGCACCGGTGACAAGTGCTACAACCAACATTCGCGTCAGTCACGACGGACTCACGCACATTCGCTTGAATGAAAACGCTGTGACGCGAGAGGGCTTGGAGAGATTTCTCCGTTTATCTTCAGGGAGGATAGAGAACCTAGAGTGTGACAAATGCATTCACAACCATCCTGATCTACTAAAAGCCAGATCTCGCTTGCCGATGCGAGTCGAGGGCGTTCTAGGACTGTCCCATCTGTTCCGCCCCGTCGTGTCCTCCAGTCTTCGATCGTTGAGGATCCATCACTCATTAGTGACGCAAGTTCCAACTGTTCAGGTGGATGGCCTGCCAATAGCAACAACGCTGAGACTCTCAGAAGACATATTTCACAAAAACGTCCGTCGGATATACCCGCAGGGCTTTACCGTCGACACGAATCCCCGTATTACCTCGCTCACATTGACAAATATTCCCGCACGGTCCAGCGGGCCGGTCATTGAGCGACTCATTTCCTTTCTTAAGGCTGCTTCTGCGCAGGAGATAGTTATCAAGCAGACCAGAACTCAGTTTCGAGGCCGACATCAAACGACTCTGAGGGGTCTGCGGCATCTACGTCTCGAGCTGGAGGCAGATTTTTCCGACGGAGATGATAGCTTGTCCATAGGCCGAGATGTGGATTATGATCAGTTGTTAGATCCGAGCGACGAGAGTTTCAGTACAGACTCTTTCAGTTTCTTCGGATCGGAGTCGAAGGCGGCAAGATCGATAAGTACAAGAACAGCACCACGTAGAGGGACCACAAGTAGTACATCCAGTATCGGGCCGGAAGACTTCTCACACTGGACCTCAGGGCGGTTAAAGTCGTTTCCCTACGATCATTACGAATCGGAATTTTTATCTTATCAGGTAGACGTATCGGATTCATCGACAGGCAATGTCTTTTCCATTCCTGTGTGGATTGGTACAGGCACGATTGGTCCGCATGCCGCTGTGAACGAGTACATGTGGAATCTGCAGGATCCAAACCTTCAAGATAACGTTGGTCCGGCGACACCAGGTCATGTGGCTGCTGGGGTTCCGGCAATGACATACATATTCTACGATGCCTGGGACGCCATGCTGTTCCCTAAGGACATCCCGATGGCCGTGAAGAACTGTAGCCCAAATCCGTTGCAGGATGTAGCTGCAGCTATCAAGGCATATCGTGTCAAGACAAAGAGGACGTCTGAGCACTGGAGCGGGCAGATTGAACTTGTGCGAACTGAAGCATCGTCGCGATACCAAGCTTCTGAATTTTGGCGATGACGAAATATAGAGCTATAAACATTGTTCATAGACAGATCCTGCTTAGCTATGTACATTCAATTTTCAGATTGTCTGGCTTTCATATCCCCGGGAACATCACACTACAACTGCGTCTGTTTTCTAGTTGATGGCGACAGAGTACTTTGAAGTGAGGACGGCGTCAGTGCCATCAAAGGCCTCGGTTCCGGCCCCCAGGCTGTATGAAACAAGTCAGTAAGTCTTCCTTCCTTGACCTCCTTTCATCGAGAAAGCTTGAGTTTTCTCACCTGGTAAGGTACTGGCTGCTAGACATGCCCTCATTGTCAATGAGATAAGTGAAGAAAGCCTTCAGATCACTATTGAAGCTAGTGACCTCGGACGATGCAACAAAGCTGTAGACTTTCATAGAGCCATTCAAGCCATAGTACAACTTCCACGTGGTCCCGTCAATAGTGGGAGTCGCAATCGTCGAGCCGGTTGAGGAGATGGGGCCGGCGCCACCGAGGGCGGCTAGCCAGACCATGACTTCGTACTGCGATGAGCCGGACGCAGTGGACGACGTGAACATGTCGTAGGCCACATCAGCGACGATGCCGCTGCCGGTGTAACTATAGCAGATCAGATCCAACAATTAGCCAACAGCTCAACTCCCAACCTCCCAACTCATGACAACCGCCCAAGCCCATCTTCCAAAAACACAACACCATCAACAGCGGTAGAGAAAAGGTAGTGAAGTGAAGCGCTTACCTCCAAGACCAAGTCGAAGGAATAGAAGAAATAGCAGAGAGCTCCTTCGCCGTAGCGGATATTACAACATTCGCGAACGACTTGACGTCCGAGGTGCCGCCCGACCAACTCCACGACGTCGACCAGTCGATCGTGGTCCCCGAGAGCGAGGTGTACGTCGTGCACTGGCTGCCGGAGCCGTTGGCCTCGCCCCAGAGGTCGTTGTACACGATGTACTCGCTGACGGTGGTCGAGTCGTACTGGCCGCAGAATGTCGTCGCCCGCGGCTCGAGGCTTGACGGCGCCGCGAGGGCTAGGGCAGCTGAGGAGAGGAGGAGGGGAAACTTCATGGTGAGGAGAAAGAGAGAGGTATAGATAGATATGGTATTAAATCGAGCGGTCGAGTGGTAAAGCTAGAGGAAGACCAGGCAGATAGGGGGAAATAGCAAAGTCGGTCAGACTAGACGATGAACCTGGCCAGTTGACTGAGGATATCACGAAAGCTATATATGAGCATCTTTCAAGGCGCAGTCATCAACACCGGTCCAATGCATTCCTCCATCCACCCATCCATTTCGTCCACAGTCAACTGACGCGCCGGATACAATTTCTCCATCCATGACTGCTCTTTTCTCCTCGGGTGTGCGCGATGAGACCTTGACTAAAAACATTTGCCGGTGGGCTATTCAAATCCCTATTATGATTGACGGAGCAACATATACCTCAGAACTGACGTAGACATATTTACTCAAAAGACCCTGGGGCTTGCCCGCCTGGCTCATTTCGCGGGGAAGTGCAGTCGCAGATGCGCCCCCGATTGGCGGAATCTCGTCGGAGTATAAGCTTGCGTGGTTTCAAGTTTCGTTACCCCGTCCTATTCCATTTTCATCAGGAACGAGAGTCAAGGGGTTTTCCACAAAGGGGATCGCCGTTGGGCAAGGGTGCGAACTGTTGGACAACTTGTCGAAAAGAGTACAAGGATGCTCATTGGCGCCCAAGGCCTTCTACATCATCATATGAGCCTTTTCAATTCCGTATACTTACCGTTGCTCTAGTTCTTTCAAAGTAGATATATCCAACAGTCACATGAAGAATAAAGACGCAGGTATGAATACACCGAAACACCAGTCTATTGTACAATTCTCCTGAGTGTCATTTCTTGCCTCAGATGCTCGTCTGGCTCTATATTTTTATGCATCTATTGCAACATGTTCATGGGAATCGTGAAGACAGCGGAAACCGACTCGCCAGGTCAAAGGCCTGGCACTACCAGGGAAACCTGCAAAACCCAGACCCGGTACCGCCTTGTCTAAGTACGAACAAAGGAAAAAGTTAGCTGCTCAGTATAGCTGAGAAGCTCTAGGGGAAACAGAGAACAGGTCCTTCTAAGGTGATGCTTGAAAGCATTCCAAGAGGTGTTCCG